ACCCAGTGCTCTTTAACATCTTCATCAACGATTTGGACGAGGGGATAGATGGGGAAATCATCAAATTTGCAGATGACACCAAGCTGGCAGGAATAGCCAACACTCCAGAAGACAGGCTTAGGATACAGGATACAGGAGGATCTGGACAGACTTGAACACTGGGCGCTATCTAACAAAATAAAATTCAATGGTGAAAAAAGTAAGGTTCTACATGTAGGCAAGAAAAACCAAATGTACAGGTATAGTATAGGGGGTACCTTGCTCAATAGTAGTAACTGTGGGAGGGATCTCGGAGTCCTAGTGTACAATCTTTTAAATATGAGCCAGCAGTGTGCTGCAGCTGCCAAAAAGCCAACATAGTGCTGGGCTGCATTAGCAGAGGGGTAGAGTCAAGATCATGTGAAGTATTAATACCACTCTACAATGCCTTGGTAAGGCCATACTTGGAATACTGCATCCAGTTTTGGTCACCACAATGTAAAAAAGATGTTGAGACTCTAGAAAGAGTACAGAGAAGAGCAACAAAGATGATTAGGGACTGGAGGCTAAAACATATGAGGAATGGTTGCTGGAATTGGGTAGGTCTAGTTTAATGAAGAGAAGAACGAGGGAGATCATGTTCCAATATCTCAGGGGCTGCCACAAAGAAGAGGGAGTCAAGCTATTTTCCAAAGCACCTGAAGACAGGACAAGAAGCAACGGATGGAAACTAATCAAGGAGAGAGGCAACCTAGAACTAAGGAGAAACTTCCTGACAGTTAGAACAATTAACCAGTGGAACAACCTGCCTCCAGAAGCGGTGAATGCTCCAACACTGGAAGTTTTTAAGAAACTGGACAGCCATTTGTCCGAAATGGTATAGGGTTACCTGTCTGAGAAGGGGGTTGGACTTGATGACCTCCAAGGTCCCTTCCAACTTTATATTATTATTATTATTATTATTATTATTATTATTATTATTATTATTATTATTATTATTATTATTATTATTATTATTATTATTATTATTATTATTATAACATTGACTAACATGGGGAATGCCCACCAAATTATGCACCAAAAGTATTACAAACATTCCTGGGAAAGAATCCGGCACAATTAGGGAAAATGCATTTCATGCATCCATTTTGTTCCATGAAATGTTCTTGTTATAAAGATTCTTTCTAAAAATGATGGTTATAGAACTGTATGACAGAAATCTTTTTTAGGGGGAGAGAGGGAGGGAGGGAGGGCAGGAGAGAACACCCGGATGCCTTTAAAAAAAATAGTAATCTTAAAAAATGTATGGTTTTAAAGAATTATCAGTCACACAGTGTAGGCGTTAAAAAAGACAGATACTGCATCACCAATTTTTACTCTGTGTATCTTGTACTTGTGCATACTTGCAGTAGCAAATATCTCATTCCAAAATAAGCTGAATCACACACACACACACAAACTTCCTTTCCCCCCAGAATTTATATTCAAGGACAGAAAGAACAGACTGCATGGTTTCCCCATCTGTTCCTTTCCTAATCAAAGATCTTTGAAGGTCCTCTTTTATGCCTGTGAGATCCCATTACATTTGCCCCCCCTCCTTTTATTTTCAGTCTGACAAACATCAGTCTGCCTTTTTACAGCTGTATGGGGGCAAAGAGGGGTTTTTTACAGCTGTATGGGGGCAAAGAGGGTTTTTTTTACAGCTGTATGGGGGCAAAGAGGGGTTTTTTTTTATTTATCCTTTGTGGATTATTTTTAGAATGAAAGGCAAAACAGTCACCTTCCAATGGCTCCACAGAGAAACTTTCTTCATTGGCTGTCACCAAGAACAGACTGGCCCTCTTTATCCCCAGGATGCTGGCATTTTGTCCCTGAGCTGTGATGTAAGCCACGTTACTACATTATTTTCCACTCAGCAAAATACATCACCAGTTGCAAACCACTTAAGAAAATGAAGAAAGTCAGACGGGATTGTCACGACCCAAGCTCATTTTACTGTGCCATAATAAAGACTGGGGCCCACTAAGAAAGGCTCAGAAGTGTTTTGTCTAGTATGCTGACAGAATTATACAATCATAGATTTGGAGGTGTTTTACAGAGCAGAAGCATTTCTCAGATTTATTTATTAAATTTATATGCCACCCATCTCAGTGTCCAGATAACTATGGAGCCTCTCCATGTGTATTTCAACTCCTATAATTCCCAGGAAACATGGCAAAGAGAAAGACATGGTGGGAATTGTGGTTCAAAGCTTTGCATAGCCTAGTGCAGGGGTAGGCAACCTTGGCTCTTTTCTGACTCGTGGACTTCAAGTCCCAGAATTCCTGAGCCAGCATGGCTCAGCATGGCTGGCTCAGGAATTCTGAGAGTTGAAGTCCACGAGTCATAAAAGAGCCAAGGTTGCCTACCCCTGGCCTAGTGCCATGAACTAATTATTTGCGTTATTGAATTAAAACATTTATCCCATAGTTGAGCTTTGTGTGAGTGTTGTGTTCTTTTTTAGAGGGACCCCCGCCCATATATCCAGCTGCCTCCTTCTCCATCTTCAGTCAATGATTTTATTCTGTTTGTATTGCGATTTTATTGAGTGCATATTTATATTTCATAATTTTATTTTTTATGCCATAAGCCACTCAGAGCTGCTCTGAAATGAAATGGGTGGCAAATAAATTTAATAAGTAAAATAAAATAAATAAAAATAACACAGGCTCCAGTTTGTTGTATTTTTACTGTGTAATAATCACAGACATTTGACACTCTTTCAGCTCCCAATTTTGTCTCTCACTTACACACACTCCTCACACCTCATCCAAAATCCATTTTGCAAAGTCTCCTGGAATTCATAGTCTTACATAATAAAGAAATTCCATCCACTGTTCAATTGAAATCTACTCTCTTTATACCAAGGTCCATTAGCTTTTATTCTGCTGCTCAGATGGCAAATATTTGGTCTCTTTCTGATAACTTTTCAGATTTTTGAAATACATTGAAATACATTTCATCTCCCTGATTGGTCAAATATCAAAGATGATATTTCAACTTCCACAGCAATTAGGACATAAAGTTAATTTACCATGGTTAATGCATTTACAAATAACCATAAACAATTTAAAAAAACCCACAATCTCAAAGAGGGACTTTGAGAAAGATGACAAAATGTGAAATTCTTATAATTCCAGATACCATACATGAAAAATACTGAATTTAGTAAGAAACAATTTACTAAGATTGAAGCAAGAATAAATCTAGCACAATAATGGAAAAGAGATATCTTGCCTATAATATCAGACTGGGGGACTAAAATTGGATATATGTCATAATAGCAACATTGACTGTACATATCCACAAAAAAGTTTAGTTAAGTTGAAGCAGAAATGGCTCTTATATAAAACATAAGGCAGATTTAGACATCTGGAATATATATATACTGTATATTAGGATTCAAATAGAAACTAGCAACAATTAGTATTTGATGAAAAGCGGCTAGTGGTTGGGGATACCAATGGAAGGACAAGGCAAAATATTCCATTAAAAAGTAATTTTATTTTTCTTTTTTTCACTATGTTTTGTTTAATTCAAATGTAGCAATCTTTTTATGCATCACCTTGCTTTTTTCTACTTTCTTTGTTCTGCACTATTTTAACAATGGATATGGATTTTAAAAAAGACAGAAAGTTCTCATTTGGTGACTGATTTATTGTCAAGGTTTATATGCCAAGAAAAAAAAATACAGTACATCTGATTTTGGATATTAGAAACTCAAAATAAGACAACACACAGCTTTAACTTAAGTTGTTCTATAATACTTCCTAATATTTACAACCATTTTTAAACATATCTTTGGCAATGGTAAGGATATGTGTGTGTAGCTTTGAGTGTGTGTGTATCCAGCAATACTTTATGTTAATAGTGTATATAACAGTGTTGTACTCTAAGTAAAATAATTACAGAAATACATATGTCTCGGAATGGCAAATACTTTTCACATCCTGTTACATTTGGCATTGCGCCAACTGCAGACTTTTGAGCTTGGTTGCTTAAGGAGGGTTCATCCTCTTTTATTATCCAATCCCACTTTGTTCCTATTTTTGTTTCTGGAAAATGCCTTGCTAGAATTGACCTCCTTCAATATCTAGCTACCTCCCGTGCTCTCCATCAGTTAAATATAGGAAGAATTTATTCAATTCAATGCAAATCTCACCTACAGCTTAAGCTACCTCTCTCTATAGACACCCCCTATGCAAAGCTGGTGGGAAACTGTAATGGCATGTGCAAATGACTTTGCAAGACAAGAGAGAGAGGTGGAGAGAAGGAGGGAGAGGGAGGGAGAGGGAGAGGGAGAGAGAGAGAGAGAGAGAGAGAGAGAGAGAGAGAGAGAGAGAGAGAGAGAGAGAGAGAGAGAGAGCATTCTAGCAGTCTATCTTTCTCCTGCCGTGCAACTCCTTTTGTTGTGAGGAAAAAATATCGGAGTAAGTTGATTGAACTGGGGAAAAATGAATCTAGGCCAAGGATAAATCCATGCACCGTTGTTATCCATGCAGGCGATTGTCTGAAACCACTTCTGTACAGTGGTTATTCTGTGATGAGTTAGTATGTATAGCAGGATCCTCAACCCCTCGTCCCAGGCGCTTGTGGGAAACCATCCTCTCTCCCACCCTGCTGCTGCCACTGCAGCTGCTGGTTCATGAAGCTAGAAAGATTGGGACTGCTGATATGGAGAGAGACCCCACAGTGCAGAAGTCAGAGCTAGTTACTGGTGGGATGAAGATCAACGTGTTGATAAGACAGTAAATGTGACTATTTTATACATTATTATGTTCTCTCCCAGAATTGGCTATCTGAAGTTATTTGAAATAAGGACAACAGGCTAAATGTAAGAAAAACCCAGAGACAAAACAAAGAGCAAAGACCTTCTCTCAGTAAAGCAAATGGAAAAACTATTGGAAGACAAAAACGCTTTTAAAGGGGTCCGAAATTATTTTGGAAAACAAAATGGCTAAAATAAGTTTCTCTTGCTGAGATTATAATTTAGCTTTGGTGTGAATGGCAACAAATGGATCCTCAGCAAAATGGCTAATGTTAAAATTAGCAGTGCCATCTCCGTGGACCTGGATTTTAATTCCGGTACAGTTATTACCCTCCCTCTGTCCAGATATAATATCACAGTAAATTCCTTCAGGAAGGCCGGTCTGCAAAGTGGCAGTCAGGTTCCTATTAAAAAAGAAAAATTTTCAAATTAGGCAAACGCAGTGATTTTATATCATACACTTTTTATTCCCTAGATTTAATTGTGTTGCTTTGAGACTATATTCTGTAATACAGTGCCAAACATTGATATCCAATTTCCCAGTCCCAAATCAAAAGTGTTGGCTTTTAGCTTTTAAAGTCCCAAAGTATGTCAGGCTTTTCTGACAGGCTTTTTTTGACGATATCTAAAATCCTTCCTATAGATATGTATTTCATCTTTTCATGTAAAATGTGTTTAAGAATGTTTTGAACTGAAATGATAAGAATGAAGGCCCAATTGCATTGTAAAGTAGTTTGTACACTTCTGTCGCTATCGGCTTGTGAGTTGTGTGCGGCCATATTCTTCTTTCAACAGTAGTCGGTCAAAGTGCAAAGCCAAAGATCAGCCAAAAGCTGGCCAAAGTTGTTGAAGGTCTAGCAGCATACTAATTAATTGATTAATTAATCAACATTTTAAATAAATAAACAAAGTGAAATAAACACTCTCCTGAGATTATCTGAATCTGACTAACCTGATTGTTTGAGACACATAGAGTTTATGGAGTCTGTAGTCGCAGAACTGAAAGGCATTTGGTTGGGAGATGCTGCAGTGTACTCCCAAGTTCCAGCAAGATGTCTGCTTCCTTTACGTAAAATCTCTGTTTACTTACCAGTCATCATTATTGAAGACAATAAATCCTTGGTTGCCACGACCAAATGCCACTTGATTGCTATTATTGTCCCACCAATTGGTGAATGGCTGCCCATCCACAACATTGCGGAAAATAACCATATTCCTTGGAGAAGAGAAGGGAAAATAGTTGGTTCAAAATCTTGACTCGCATTAGCTTTTTCCCAGTCACATGTTCTGATTGGAAATTACGGGAACTGATCTGCAAGATGACAGCCTCCGGGGAGCATGCATATCTTAAGTGTTGGAATAGGAATTGTGAAATGTTCTTACCTTATTTGACGCCACCGATGTTCACAGATCCAGCCATTGCCACAGGTTGTATCTGGATTAATTGTTACAGGCTTAACTGACCCATCTTCATAACTTGGAGGACCAACCCAGTCATTAATATCCTGGTTGTTAAATACAAATTGGAGGCGAAAAGAAAAAAAATAAATAAATAAAACAAGAGAGATTAAAATATATACACTAGACTAGGCTGCCTGACGATCATAAATTCATTTTTTTTCTTTTATGCAAAAAGTCCATAAAGGTTTTCCAGTCAGCAATAAATGTCGATCTTGTCTTTTCTCTAATCAAATGTCAATTTGGCCGTCTCAGTAAATTCTATCACGTTCATCAACCATTCCTGTGTTTGCTTGCTTGTTTGTTTTACTAAGTTTATTTGCCGCACCTCTCCCAAATCTTTCTACCTTTGTGCATACAGTAATTTCACTGTGGTGATACAAAAACAAAATCCCATCACTTTTTTACAACTATTTATCTCTCAGTCCCAAGAGGAAGACTTATATCGGCAAATCACTTAGTCATGTAAGAGAATCAGAATTTATCTTCTAGTTCAACACCCTGCTCAAGTAAGAAACTATACCATTTTAGAATTTGTCTGAAATGGTATAGGGTATTCTGCTTGAGCAGGGGGTTGGACTGGAAGACCTTCAAGGTCCCTTCCAACTTTGTTATTCTGTTATCTTCTACTGAGTAGCTCTCGTCCAGCCATTTACTGAGTTCAGATATGATTCAGCATCTGCACAACCCTTAGAGCTGTAGACTAGGTACCAACTAAGCATGGTTTCATTTATTTATGCCGCCTAACATTCCATGGTAACTTCAGCTATAGGCTTCATGTAGGGATGGCAACCTTTCTCAGCAATGTTCTGCTTCTTGATCACTTTAATGATCACAGCAGCTGATTTCAAACTGGCAGGATTAAAATTGGGGGATCTTCTGAACTTTGGGTTGGATTGGTTAACAAAAAAAAAATATTTCTAAAGCTTTGAAGAGGGGATAGTTCATTCTTCAAATCCATCTAAAATACTCACATCCCTAAAAGGGGGATTCAAAATGTTCTGCCTGGCAATTCTACAGGCTTTTGAGAATCATAAACAGTATGTTAGGAATGTCTGTGTCTGGTATAAATATTGAACAGTATAGGGTATAAGATGTGGACTAAAGCAAAATTCTCTCCCATGTTACTTTCAGGTACTGATGAAGAATGAATCTTTTAATCTACTGAGTCAATCCAGAAAACTAACACAGACAATATTATGAAATACTGTCAAGAATGAAGAGGAATCATTCTGGGCACATCATTTTCCTAATAAACGTCACCCATCAGGGCACCCAAGATACCCTCTTTCTTGTGGAGAACAACTACTTTATGCTGAATACATAATTAATAGATGCCATGCATTTCCCCAAGCTGTTTGTTAAGTTTACAAAACGGACACTGACCTTTCCATTTTCAAAATGTCTTGGCCAGCTGAAACTTGACATGACCCTTGTAAAGCCATATGGATGCGCAAGCATGAAGCCAACTCCCATTTTATAGAGCCTAAATATGGAACGAAAAAGCAGAGAAACTCAAATTACAAAACTCAGTAAAAACAATTCTGAGGAATTGTTGCTACCAACCCAAATCCTCCTACTTGAGGCAGTTGCCCCAGTTAGTCTAAGAAACATCTGGCACATGGACTTCAGAAGTGCTTCTCACCTGGAATCCCAGAAGGTCAAAATAGCAGCTCCACCAGCTCCATGCCCTCTCTGGTTATCATGATTGTCTACAAAGACAACAGCTTTATCAGAAGGCATAAAACTCCAGCCTTCACCCCAGTTCCTAAAAAGAAGACAGCAAGAGTCAGATTAACTGAATACAGTATGTCAATGTGTTAGGAATCTTTTTTTAAAAAGGGAAAAAGCAAAATTACTTCAAATAAGTCATCTTTTCTCCACTCCACTTGCGAATGACTGTCCCTAGTTTGGCACCATATTTGAACTCAGTTACTCGGCCGTTTCCAAAGTACTCACTGGATGTAATGGGCTCCCCACCTAGATCAATCACCTGGTGGAAATCAAAATAAAAGTTATTGTGGCATATAACTTTAAATGGATATCTATATCTCTGTATACATACATATACATATTTATAACTTTAAATTGATATCTACCGTATCTATCTGTCTGTCTATCTATCTGTCTGTCTGTCTGTCTGTCTGTCTGTCTGTCTGTCTGTCTGTCTGTCTGTCTGTCTGTCTATCTATCTATCTATCTACCTATCTATCCATCCATCCACACACAGACAGACAGACAGACAGACAGACAGACAGACAGGATTTAAGTTTTAATATGAACCTAACCAACTTAGTGAATGCAGGCATAATAATTCAGCTCCAGCTTTGCCTGCAGGCTAATTGCATAGGATTGCCTAGTTCACACATAAAGGCATGACTTGATGTTAACTTTCAAGAAATACAAAATCACTTCATATCACTTGCTTTTCAGTGGAGCCAGTTCACATATGTAATTAGGAACCATCAAATTTTACCAATAAATTTATGGATATATTGGCCAGAATAGCTTAGCAGCAATATGTTTAGTGCAAAAAAATTAAGAGGTTGCAAGGTTTTTATCTACAACAAGCTAAGAAACTCTTTTAAAAAAAAAAAAAAAAAAAAAAGGTCCCTCCAAACACTAAGCTATCAGCATGCAATGTTAAGTTTGAGGCATAAATTAAAAGTTGACATATATTCCACACCAGCACTGTAATTATGAACTTTTAATCTATTGTTTTTAAATTATTTTCATTGCGTGGTTTATTATAACAAATAAGATTATGTTCTCACGTTGTTCTACTACTTTCAACTTTGGCTTTTATCTGGAGCTGGAGGCCTAGGAAAATGTTCAACCTTGCCATTTTCCCAATCTCTGTTATGTATCTGATATTGATCCTCGGTATAAAATAGATATGTAGGCAGTTTACCTCTTGGAAGATGAATGGCCTTGTCCCTTCAGCAAACCACTCCGCGTTGAGATTTTTTAGTTTGTCTAAAAAGGCTTTCATATCCCCAGGCCACATGTGCTTGGAAGCATCGATGCGAAATCCTGCTACACCAATGTCGATTAGGTGATTCATATATTCTGCAACTTTGGAACGCACGTAGTCCTTCTCTAGTGCAAGATCAAGAAGACTAACAAGGCGACAGTCCCGAACCTGTTCAGAAAGTCCATTTAAAGAAATCAACATATCCAACACACCTTTCCCAACATAAACAGACTCTTAAAGTCTCCAACGTTGTTCTTGAACTCTGGCAACCATAGAAGAGTTCAGTTTGTTTATTTGTATCCTGCTTTTATTGTTAAGGCGACAAACATATCTAACACACCTTCTTCCTGTTATATTTCCCACAACAATAACCCAGTGAGGTGAGTTGGAGTGAGAGAGAGGGACTGGCCCAAGGTCACCCAGTTGGTTTTCATGGTTAAGGTGGGACTAGAATGCACGGTCTTTAGAACTCAGAGCCGCGCAAGAGTTACCTTGAGGTAAAATGGGTGGCTTATAAATTTTATAAATAACTAAAACTCAAGTTGAGGGGTCAACCTCTAGGATGGATTGCAGAGGGTAAAATTCAGAATACAGCAGATTGTCATTTAAATATAATCTTATGTTAAGATCCCCAGCTATACCAATGTGAGAACCAAGGAATATTAATGCAGATTTCTGTTTTTGACCAGATTTCTACAATTTAAAGGCGAGGGATGTTAAGGGATCTAGAGGAGTGAACTCAGTGTTAAGACTGAATTCACATTCAGATTTGTTTATTGCAAACCCAAGGCCAGATACAAAGAAGATATTGGATAGCAAAAAGTATTACATCCTTCTCTATATACGTATATGGGCATAAGAGAAAAATAGTAAGTAGGGTCTAAAAGTAATTAAGAACATTGTTTCTAAAATAAATCCACATAAAATGAGAAGTTCCAATTCTAAATAATGGTGTTACGACTGACAGATATGGATTCTCAAGTCTACGTAGAATCTCCCTCATCCTGTTTCATGGTCTGCCAGAAGTGACAAAGGTCTACTCTACAGCCTTCAGGCTACAGATACTGCTAGCTGCCAGGTTTCTGAAATTAAAGAATATCAGACTGGGTAATAGGAGGCAGGAAGGCAGGATTCCTTGTTCTGACTTCATACCCAGCAATATTCCAGGAGAGCAGTGACAATTATTCAGGCATTCATATGAGCCAATGGAGACTTCATGATGTTCCTCAAGCAACAAAAGGCTATTCATATTGGCATCCTGCACATGAGGAGATCCCAGCTGGCAGGTCTCCACAGAAGAGGTCTAACCTGGCCCTCAGGGACAGTTCATCAGGCCTGCAGTTCTTCAAATCAGCCCCCATCCCCCAAACCCTGGGCAGAAGTTGATTATCCTAGTTCTGCCTCATCCATCGTTAATCCCTTTCATTTCAAGATGTCCTATGGAGAAGATTTAAGGGTGCTTCCCGGCAAGCCCACAAAAGTGGAACAGAGTGAAATTACCAGAAGTTCTGATACCTAAGGTACACACTGTATTCTTAAAACAGAAGGACATTATTTTTTTAAAAAATCGTAACATATTAAAATGGTGTTTATTCTCAGAGGAGCAATCGCAACTGAGCTCCTGACAGTTCTCCCAAAATGGATTCACCTTGCATGGTTGATTTTTTTCTTTTTTCTTTTTTTTTTGGGGGGGGGGAAAGTGAGGACAGTTTTTATTTTCCCAACCCTTTTTTTAATGTCTCCAGTTTTCAATAGTGTATTTCCAGTTCATTACCTGTTACTTATCCGTGGTTGGTCTGACCACCGTTCTTTTGCGATCAGTATGAAGTATTATTATTATATTTGATGTATTTCGGGGTTTTTTAATGTTTATTTTGGGAACAGTCCAGAGAGATTGTTGGGCAATGCCAAAACCTGCTTATTGCAATCAATAAATAAAACTGACTTTGAAAATTCACTCACTGTAGGCAGGTAATTCCTCTGTGCCCAGCATAAAATATAATGCAGGGATATAGCACAGTGTCCTCTCATTAACAACACATGATTAAAAAAAGGATCATGTGGTGACTCAGCAGGTAGCCTTCTCTATGGGTAGAATTATCATGCACTCACCAGAGTCTTAATGTTTTAATGATTTCATTTTATAGAATACACTAATACATGGCAACATACAGCTCCAGAACTGCTGAAGCAGAAAGTATTGAACTAACTTAACCAAAGTTTATATTGAGTAGCAATAGCACTTAGACCTATATACTGCTTCACAGTGCTTTACTGCCCTCTCTAAGCAGTTTACAGAGTCAGCTTATTGGCCCCAACAATCTGGCTCCTCATTTTATCCACTTCGGAAGGATGGAAGACTGAGTCAACCTTGAGCCGGTGAGAATCGAACTGCTGGCAGTCGGCAGAATTAGCCGGCAGTACTGCATTCTAACCACTGGGTCACCACGGTGCTTTCTACCACATTTATAGATCACACCAAGCCATAGTGTACATAGTGTACACCAAGCCATGTGTACATATATATATATATATATATAGTGTGTGTGTAATGTTATATGTAAGGCTTGGAATTGAAAAAAGATGTGGTCACAGAATGAGCAGGGAAAAAAGATGTTTTGTCAGTTTTGGGAGGCCGTACTGGGAGGTTTAATGAGCAAGCTGGCAGAGACTTAAATAACTCATTTTGTCCCTTAAATTCCCCTTAAAATGGGTAAAAAAATAGTCTAGAATTGGTGATTAAAATCTTGCAAGGCTTAAGGCATACATTTTGTAAACTCCCCTCAACATTACCAACACAGGTACAAAATGTCTGCCTTTTCCACTTCGGCAAGACTCTTAATGTGGCACAGGGACCACATGCAATCCACAGGTTGCTGACCTCCTATTTCGGCAAGGAAAGGCCCAGTCTAGCTAAGGCTTAAGTGCACATTTAATCATCTTTACCACAGCAAAGAAAACTACCTACGCATTAACCACAAGTTAGGATTGCTTCTAAATAATAAACTGTGGTCAATATTTACTACTTTAAGTCAGTTGCTCAAACTGTCATTCACGTTAATCATATCTTGTCAGTTTGGATGACAGAAGAAGTTATGGCTAAGCGAAAAATGAAAGCAAAATGATCAGCTATATTTTGGCAGTCCTCCTGAAAAGGACACATCCAAGCCCAGGGTCCATTGAGGATCTGACCCATTAGCCACAACTCTTAGATGGAAGGGCCGAGACCCAGAAATGCTTGCATCTCTATAGAGCTCACAGATTTACAGCTCACAACTACATGTAATATTCTGCCTCAGAAATCCTAATTGGTTTTTTGACAGTTTTACTCTTCTGCTCAGAGTACATATATAATTCTAGTAAACCACACACGCACACGCACATAAATTTTACTTCTATCCACTTTCATGTGCTCAATGTCTTTTTACACTAGGGCTTAATTTTGTGAAATGCTGAGCTAATTTGGTCTAGTGGTTAAGGCACCAGGCTAGAAAGCAGCAGATCGTGAGTTCAAGTCCTGCCTTAGTCATGAAAGCCGGCTGGGTGACTTTGAGCCAGTCACTTTATCTTCACCTAGCTCACCTCTCAGGGTTGTTGTGAGGAAAATAGGAGGAGGAAGATTTGTTGGATATGTTTGCTGCCTTAAGCTATTTGTAAAAACAACAATGACAGGATACAAATGAACTAATAAATAATCAATAAATACAATTTAAAATAATTGAATTGAATAATTCATTAAAAAATGAAAGATCAGCATATTATTCTAGGGCAGAGGTGTCAAACTCAATTTCATTGAGGGCCGCATCAGCAATATGGTTGCCCTCAAAGGGCCAGATGGGCATGGCCGGCTCGATGTGGCTGGCTCAATGCCGCTCACTTGGTGCGGCTGGCTCGCTCTGGTCAGGTGGCTGGGTGGGCATGACTGGATAGGTATAGCCAGGCCAGCTCCACTGACTTGGGAGGGATGGGTCGGCACAGAACAAGCTAACTCAAAATAGGGACAACTCAGTGCCCCACAAGCTCCTTGCCTTCCCAAATTGCCAGTAGCCAAGCGCATGCATGCACGCGCGTACACACATACACACACATCCCGCATTCCAAATTTGGGGACTTTTATCCACAGAGGAAGGAGAGGTCCTTCTCCCCAAGGACAGGGAGACTTTTGGATAAATCGGCAGACTTTTGGATAAAAGTCTCCAAGCTTGGAATGGTGTGTGTGTGCACACATGAGCACAGCATGCCAAAGTTCTTGGTTGAATTACAAAGATCTCTGGAGAGGAGGAGGGGTGGCGGAGAGCTGTGTGAGGGAAGGCTGCCCCAACAAGCCAGCATCCTTCTCAAAAGGATTCTCTTTCGAGAAGGGCCAGCTTCCCTCATGCAGGACCAGAGAGCGCTGCTCCCCTGCCTCCTCTTCTTGTTCTCCAAAGATCTGTCAAGGCAGAGGTTTGACTCCATGCCTCCACATGCAGCAGCGTCGCCCTCCGCCTTGTTTTGTCGGGATGGGCACCGGGCAGGGAAACGCCAATTGTCGGATGTCTGACATTGGGAAAAGATCGTTTCCTTTGGCATGCTGTGCACACGCATGCACGGACACACCATTCCAAGTTTGGAGACTTTTATCCACATTTGAGATGGCAAGCTGCCAGTCATGCCTGGGCTTAGGGAGAAGGACCTTTCCTTCCTCTGTGGATAAAAGTCCCTAAACTTGGAATGTGATGTGCGTGTGGTTGTGTGTGTGTGCGTGCGTATGTGCTTGGCTGCCGGCAGTTTGGGGAGGTGGAGCTTGTCAGTTGTCCCCACATCGAGTTAGCCAGTGTGACTTGTTCGATGCCGACCCAGCCATCCCGAGTCAGTAGGGCTGGGCCGGCTGCACCTACCCAGCCATGCCCTCCTGGCTGCTGTGAGTTGTTATAGACCCATGGTCACCCACCCCTGAGGTTACCACTACCACACAGCTCCATGTCGCGGTTCCGACTAACGAAACACTTCAAAGAACTTCCAGGCATTGTTTATCCTAAAAAGTCTTTAATCGTGAAACAAAGTGTCGGCACAGCATGGTGGATGCCAAGATCTGAATTCCCCTCCCCTGAACACATAATATTCAAGCGTAATTCCCTCCTCTAATTTGCAGTCATGAATCACGTTCTCCAATCAGTTTGAAGGGCAAAGTTTCCTTTCCGTTCTGTAGCCCGAGGTTTCTTATCTTAACTAATCCCCACGCACATTCTTTCTCCTCCCCTCCCAGCATCATCTAATTTAACTCTAAAAGTACCACACAGCTTATACAGAGAGTTGCTGCCTCTTCATATTTTGTCAAAGCAAGAACATCCAATGTTAGCAGCGTTGACACTCCACACATCAGAGAGGATCCCGCTGCCCGTCCTCTGCTAGTGCTGCTGCCACTGATAAGATACCAGAAGAAGCAAGGAAGTAACTACTCAATCACTTCTTCCTACTAGTCTGCTTGCGGGCCAGATCTAAACACATCACCGATCTGGCCTGCAGGCCTTGAGTTTGACATGTCTGTTCTAGGGTGTTTACGTCCTATCTACAAGTGCCAGAACCTGGCTTAAGAATTAGGCTGTCCATATGCAGTCTCACTGGGCATGACTGTTTCAACCATTAAGAAATAAAAAAACAGAGTGTACATATATACAGGGAGTCCTCGACTTACAACAGTTCATTTAGCATCCGTTCAAAGTTACAACAGCACTGAAAAAAGTGACTTAGGACTTTTTTCACCGTTATGACCATTGCAGTATCCCCATGATTATGTGATCAAAATTCAGGCGCTTGGCAACTGACTCATATTTATGACGGCTGCACTGTCCCGGGGTCACGTGATCCCTTTTGCGACTTTCTGACAAGCAAAGCCAATGGGGAAGCCAGATTCACTTAACAACCGTGTTGCTAAGTTAACAACTGCAGTGATTCACTTAACAACTGTGGCAAGAAAAATCATAACACGGGGCAAAACTCACTTAACAAATGTCTCACTTAGCAACAGAAAGTTTGGGCTCAGTTGTGGATATAAGTCGAGAATTCATGTAATGAATTCAGAAAAGTACCTGGTTCAGATCATTGTAATTTTCTATCTCTCCACTGGCTGTGCTGCATTTCCCGTCATTGAAATCCCATCCAGAGTATGGTACAGCAGGAAAATCTCTCTTATTTGAATCAAAGTAGCTTCCACATGTAGAATCGTGGCCAGATCCAGCAGCAGCTCCACACATATGGTTGACAACGGCATCCACATAAATGTATACCTGAGCAGAGAATTGTCAATCAGTTACAGCAAGGACCTCCTCTATGGGCACGGAAGAGAAGTGAGACCATCATACATATTACATAATCCATGCCTGTCCCACAGTGATGTCATGATGACATCCCCCTATGACATCATAATACTATTCTGTGGCAATGCCATATGAACACAGCATTCATCTTTTTTCTTTAATCACGGACAAGACAGATATTCTGTGGTTTGTGAAAAAAAACATTAATTTCTAGCCCACTGGAATCAGAAATATAGCTTTACAAACATTCCCTCCTAAACTATAGATGACGAAATCTCCAAATCGATACTTGCATTCACAATCTAGCCTTAATTGGAAAATCATTTTCTCAAGGCAGTCTGGAAACCACAATAGGTGCACATTAATAGCTAATTGATTGTAAAGATGACTAAGTGAGACGACGCGTGTGAACGCTTGGAGGTGTTGCTACGCAGTCGCAAGGTATTATAATTGCATATCCTCCCACTCTCTTACTGGCATAATTCAAGATGCTGCAACATTTGCAAATTGCTTGTATTCAACCTATCTTAGGAACACTTTCTCCCTTGGGCTTCTAATACTACCTTTGAAAGCTACCCAAAGCTGCCCTTTGGATGATACCATCTGTGCACCAGGCTCAGTTAAAGGCATAGAAATCACGTTCTTGGCCGGTGCCCCATTCCCAGGGATGAAATTCCTTCCCACACTGATCTGCCAAAGTACAGTTCTGAGCTTTGTGCACTGGCAGCATCACAGCCAAAGGATATCAAATAAAAAACTTTGTGCTTGTGAGGGCGATCATCAGCCTGTCCCTCCAGAACCTATCCAGTCCTAATTTACATTTCACCTTTCTCTGTAGGGCAGACATAAAAGAGTAGCAGTGAAACAATTTACAAGAACCCAGCAGATGATTTCACAGTCAAGACGAAGTTTGCTTTCCCATGCTGTGCTTTTTGAATGCTCCTTGCTGATCCTTCCTCCTTTCCCAATTTAGAGATGGATGGTGGCTGGTTTGTGTTCCCAAAATAGCTCCCATTACTACACCTGTATTATTTAGACCCAGCTTGTAGTTCAGGCTCCTAGCTGACAAGGAATGGTGCAAAGCATAGTTCTCCCAATTCCCAGCACTAGTAAGTCAACATGGACTGAGGTGTCTGGTATCAAATGTTAATTATGTCAAATATAATTTTTGTGATTCCTTACATTTCCAGGCACTGAGAGTCACATGAACTACATATCTTATCATTTTTGAAGGGTGAATGTTTCTGTGTGTGCATATGAAATTGTAGAAGACTACATTGTATAGCAGTAGTAACTAAAATCCAGCAAGGAATTTTTGTTCTCATTTTGTTAATTCAAAGAAAAGATCACCTCAGGCAGTCTCTCAGCATTAGGGAGACTAGATTTTATTGCACTTAAAATTAGATTTTCTGGAACGTGATTATTTGGAAGGAGCTAATCTTAAATTAGATGACTTTACGATATTCAAGCTCATTGTCTAAATTAATCCAATCAAAGTGATTCCATTTTGAACTGACTACAGGGAGATAGTCCCACCACTAGTTGAGAGAATGCAAGCGATAATTTAAGAATACATATCACTGTTAGGGAAGCAGAGTTAACTTGAACCAAATATCTTAAAACAGAATATGAGATCACTTACTCCAACATTGTTACATCTGTTCACCATGTCTTTAAATTCGGACTCACTTCCAGATCGTGTACACAGCTTGTAGCTGATGGGCTGGTATCTTTCCCACCATGGTCTCCATGGTGTTGTAATGACAAGGTTTTCATTTGGAGGAGAGATCTGTGAATTGAATAATATCATCCAACAACTTTATAGAGCATTATTTCAGTAGCTCAGTGGCAGGCTGAAAATCCTTTTTTACATAGTCCATGGAAAACAGGCAACATAGAAAGTACAACATACAGTACAATCCTTATCTTAATTTAAAGCACTTGGGTTTCTTAAGGAATCCTTTTTTAAAAAAAAAAAGTTTGGAAAAGGGTGCACAAAGCCCAGTCTTTCCTTATTTTTTCCTCCTCCAGTTCATGGGTTTTCTTGAAATCAGAAACTTAAGAGTGACTAGAAACCCTATGAATTCTGTTTCAGTTAATCAAAAGCCTGTAAAACATCTTCTGGCTTCATAAGGTTATCCCTTGTGCAATCAGTTTTCCCACTTTTTCAAAATAAAATATTTATTAGGAGAAAACTGGGAGAACTAGTTTTGCAAGACTAATTCACTGCAGAAGTGAACTACACTCTGAAATTCACCTCTATTACTCTACAACAAGCACATATAATCCATTCGATGCTCAGAATATTATTTGATCATAACTAGGCAGTAGGCTTGCTTGCTCATTTGACGAAACATTGATTTCTACTGGGTGGCAATAAATTTTGAATATAAAGTGAGATTGACTGCCTTATTTTCAATGCAAACGGCAACTTCTACTGGGTTAATAAAATAAACATGATGCATTGTACATGACGTCTATTTTATGTCAGTTATAGCCATCTAGAAAAGTTGCCATGTCTTCATTATATATATATATTCTTAACAAAGTACTAGAGGAACATTCAGTGTATATAGTAGACCAGAACGCTAATGAATATATGCTAGACAGAATGATAAATTCGATATTACTCAAGTTGTTTGCTATACATTGGTTTGGGAAGTGTAAATAAAATACTGGTCCAGCTTGTTATATTGCATGATGGATAATAATAATAAATCCCATTATTCTTCTATTTTTTCTGAATAATATAGGAACGTATTTACCATCGGATGGAAAGCTATAACAATCAGCATCTGATGGAGTATTATCATTAGCAAAATGGTCATCAGTAAAAATTCTTCAGCTTTAATAATCTACAGTGCTTTCATTTCCACAATCCCCATTATACATGATGTAGCCATTAAAAAAATATAATAACATGGTTTGGTTTTGTTTCTGTTGTGCCAGAATCCTTATGATTGATGAAGTACATAATTAAAACGGCAGCTGAGGTGCTCAGATTTCCATATTGAAAATAAAAGTTGAATAAATCAGCAATCTGATTGTCTGTTGATGCAACAACTTTTCTACAAGTATCCAACTCACTACTTAATTCAGTTGCATTCATTTAACCAAGTTTCAGCAGCTAGTTGGAAGCTTGCAAACGAATTGCAAATTTTATGCCTGATAAATCCATTGGAACACTCACAAGTAGAGGTTAGCTTCAAACACTCAGCACAACAAAACATTAATTTATTCTACATCACAAATAGGCTGATGCAATAATTTCACTGCCGCGTCTTTACAAAAGGTTCATTCATTTTGGCCAGCAGTCCTTCCCAAACCAAGCTATTATTTTGATATCCAAAAAGTGCTCCCCCCCCCCCAAGGCAACAGGACTTTGTTTTTTTCCTGGAGATGTTTCGCTGCTCATCCAAGAAGCTTCTTCAGTTCTGATGTCAAAAAAACAAAGTCCAGTTGCCTTTTGGGAAAAAGGCACTTTTGGGACAACCATGATCTGGATGACTGAGAATCTCCATAAACATTGTTCTTTAGATGTGCAAATTTCAACTCCCAGAATTCTCAGCAACTGCCAAACTGACTGGGAAATCCTGGAAGTGGAGTCAGCATGGTTGAAAGATGATTTAGTGATTTATACCATGAAAAAAAATTTCCGCAGACCTTCACTGTTGTTAATATTGTTGAATTTCAATTTCAATTGAATTCAATATTTTCTGGAATTAGAGAAAGTGCTCCAAAGACATATCTTTCCCAGATGTTGCCACCAAAATCTGCCTACCTGAACACCACCGAATCCATTAGGTGCTAAGTAACGTTCGCATTCAAGAGCAATGTCATTCCAACGCCATTCAAAGAGGTGAACAATAGATGTCCTTCCAGGCAACGTATTTGGGTTATACTGAGCCCAACAAAGTTCCAGACCGGCAAGGAGAATTAAAATCCACATACTGCCTTGGGTAATGGCTCTTTCTGTGCTCCAAATTGCAGTTTTCAGTACCGTATTTATATTTCTGGTACAGCTCAAAGTACACATCAGTCATGAGACTTTCAACACAATTGGCTACATTTAGCAAATTTCCGTTCATCAAAGGTCACAGTTTAAACAAGAGAAACAGGTGAAGATAAAGAACCAGATTCCCTAGGGAAAAACTGTGAACGCATAAACCAAGATAAGATTCAGAGGGATTAATCGCATCCATGCCTTCGGCCAAATAAATTAGATAATGTACTATCTGCTTCAAGGAGATCTACAAGTCAAGCAGACATCAGAGGCCTCCAGCATATAATGATCTGTTCTTTGTAACACTCATTCCCCCAAATAGCAAGAAATGATACATAACTTTGCCTATCATTAAGCCAGGGGAACAGCCCAATATATTGGCCTGCCTGAGATTAAATGGCAAAAAGTACATCGCATCCTAGACCAAGATATGCCATCTGAACCAATGAAAACCCACATAACTCTCCTCTCATCCCAATAATAAAACACAGAATATAGTAAGACATAAAGTCTTGCTACTTTTCCATGACATTAAAAACTATGGGCTGAAGCAGTGGTCCTTCTCTACATAAAGGTAGGGATTTAACAGTTTGTCTTTAGCTCAACACCTCTCTTTCGAATTTTTGGGGTCTTTTGAGTTCTGTGGACCAGAATTATTCTGCACCGGGAAAATTCTGCATGAAGTACTGTGACTACAGATTGTCCTCGATTTACGACCACAATTGAGCCCAAAATGTATGCTGTTAAGTGAGAATTTGTTCAGTTTTGCCCCGTTTTACGGGGCAAATTGTTAAGATAATCATCGCAGTTGGTAAGTTAGTAACCTGGTTGTTAAGTGAATCTGGCTTCCCCACTTTGTCAGAAGGTCGCAAAAGCTGATCACATGACCCGGGACACTGCAACAGTCGTTAAATATGAACCAGTTGCCAAGCATCTGATTTTTGATTATATGATCGTGGGGATGCTGTGAAGGTTTGTGTGAAAAACGGTCATAAGTCACTTTTTTTCAGTGCCGTTGTAACTTTGAATGGTCACTAAATGAACTGTTGCAAGTCGAGAACTACCTGTATAGTGAATTGGCAGAGATGAGTTTTGTTATTTGCTTTGGATTTTCCTTCTTGTTTATCGGTCACCAGTCCTGTAGCCAAAGTGAGATTGGGGATTACCACATGGAAGGATGTTTTGCTACACGCAGGATTTATATTTCATTTTTTAAAAAATAATTTCCTTAAATTCGTGATACAAAACTTGGTTTGGGCAAGAAACGCTATTATCTGGGAAAAGGGGGAAAGAAGCAATTATCAGGAGCTGATGTGAGATAATCATTTCCTGCTTTTTGATCCTTTTTCCATTGATACCCACTGATTAGCAGAAGTAGCTTTCATGTCCCAGAGGAGTGACAAAAACTCTTTATCAGGATGTTAAGGGTTTTTCATCAGCCCTCCAAAGCTTCCAAATAGTTTCCCCAAATATCAGTCAAGTCCATTTTAAAGTCCAAAAGTTGCAAGTTACAAGAGGTAAAAATTTGAGCATCCTGTTCAGAGAGGTTATTCTCATAAAAATTGCTTGTTGGGAGACAAACACTGAGGTGGAGTTACCATCTTCATACCTTGTTGATGGGTTTTCCAAGAGCACTCAGCTAGTAAGAATTGAAGTCCAATGTTGGAATGACTCTGCAGGTCACCTTTGTATGGACAAAGCATCCAAAGTTTATTTAACTATATTAATAGGAAGATTGAGCTATAAATGGCATTTATTTTTGAATAAATTTCCAAACAGGTTTAACAACATGTTAAGTTGGCACAGATTATGCTTACTGATTAAGATGAGGCAGACAAGATGGGCTATTGCAACTATTCTGGTTTTCCTCAATCCTTCAGCAAGTATCAATATCATAGAACATATCCTTCTGAACTACCAAGAGGGAAGAAATCAAGCCAGAGACCCCTGATATGTGGGGTACTTTAGGGCTTTTATGTTCTTGTGCCTCTCTTTAGTTTCTATATGAGATGCTGGATGAAGCTATCCATTAGTTTCAAGCCAGGTATCATCAGAACACTGATACTCAGTGGTAAATCTCAACCATAGGCTGAACAAGTGATGCTATCAAGATCTTATCTCAGTGACTGAAGGCTGTGTGAGTCTGGATGGAGAGGACCAATTTCAATACGAGTAGTGTCTTGGGATTTTTGGACTACCCAGGAAGAAGAGACAGCAGTTTTTATTCTGGAAGTTATTCTTCTCCCTTCAGCATTGGCATACACCTTGGGGGTTTTCATTGAAGGTCTTCCTTGCACAATTCACCTAGCTGCCAATTGTGCCCATACATGGACTAGGACAGGGATAGGCAACCTTGGCTCTTTTATGACTCATGGACTTCAACTCCCAGAATTCCTGAGCCAGCAGGAGTCATAAAAAGAGTCAAGGTTGCCTACCCCTGGACTAGGAGGACAGTCACTCAGGTTTTGCTTGCTTTGCTGCATTTGGACTATTGCAATGCACTCTTCATATATCCATCTTTGAAGACCACTTCAGAAATTACAGCTGGTCCAGGACACAGTGGTAAAAGAAGTTATGGGTATGCACAATATGTCCATGGAACAAATCTTTGTAAACTGTACTACTTACCAGTAAGCTTCAGGCTGCACTTCAAGGTATTTATAAAGCCCTTCATGACAAAGGGCCTAATTGTTTGAGGGCCATCTATCTTCCGTAGTTTCTATTCATCCCGTATAATCAGGCAATGTCACCTGGTAGGGTTCAGGAAGCAAACCTTCTCAGTTGCACTGTTCGTTCTTTGGAATTATACTCTCCCCCAGATACTCATATGGACTTCACTGACCATCCCAGGCCTTGGGTTAGAATGGGATGGAAATGGATTCCTCGTAGGAAAAACTGTCTGTTAAAGTTTATATTATTTTATTCCACATGTTTTTGGTATTGATTTGAATTGTATTGCTGTAGGTTGTCTTACATTGTACACCATTGTGAGTTATGATGGAGTCAGCCTATACAAGTAATAAATAATCATGTAAAAATCAGCTTTATAATACACAGAGAACAGAAACCAATCAAATAGGAGAAATGTTCATCAGTATATATTACAATCTGGCTTCAACATGAACTGCAATGAACGGATGCTTTGCTTGGTAATTAATCTGAAAATGAGCCATGCCATTAGCAGCAACATGGATTTGAATTCCTGTGCAAGCCTTGCCTTCTTTTTGTCCTGAAATGACATCACAATAAACCCCAGCAGGAAGACCAGTTGGAAGGACTACCGACAAGTTCCTGTACAATAAAAGATAATTTTATTTTTTTATTTATATTCAGAAAATGATATGCCACCCATTGCTATGAATGTCTTCTAAAATGTATAATTAAAATGGTGACGCATCAAATCAAGAAATATAGAACATTAAAATACTAAAACATTAACCAGCCTGGGTAAATAAGAATGTTTTCAGCTCATTTCCAAATTATTGTTTCACCTTCAGTGACCATGTGGTTTCGTAATTTGGAGAAAAGTTAAAAAGCAGAATTACATCAATCCATGGCAAAATCAGCAACACGTATACATCCCTTTTTAGACTGGATACACAAGAACAGAAAATCTGTAAGTAACTGACTTCTGAAGGAAGAAATGGCAGACTGAAAATTGTTGTGAGGAATGAAAAGCTGGCAACTAGGCTGGCTCTTTGAACCTCTCTGGACAAGGAGATTACTTGAGATTACCCACATGTGCTCCAGATAGCTGCCCCTCACAAAGAGATGGAAGATAGTCATTTCCTGAGGGTTTAGAGCTCTGGGAGGCAAGATAAACCTTATTTGGTACCTTTGAAAAGACTCTTAAGTTTGCATATTTCTTTTTCTAATCACTTTTAGAAATTGCTCGTTAACTGCTTTTCAACTATCAAAAACCTTTCGACAAATTTGGCAGCCCTGGGTGAGTTTTTATTTAAATTATTATTGGAATATACAGCAAAAAAGTGATTATAACCTCAGTTTTAGGAAGTTACAAATGGATTAATGGTCCAGTTTAAATTTAAAATAAGATTTTGAAATTAATTATAAATTAATTATTCATTAATTGGATTTTTTTTTTAAAGAACAAGATAAGATTTTAAAAATTGTACACCAGAGAGAACTAGATATTACAATCCCAAAGATGCTTTTTCACGAGGCAACTGGCCTTCCTTTTTTTTTTTTCCTTTGAAGACGTTTCGCTTCTCATCCAAGAAGCTTCTTCAGCTCTGCTTCTTGGATGAGATGAGAAACGAAAGGTCTTCAAAAGAAAAACAAGAAAGTCCAGTTGCCTCGTGAAAAAGTATCTTTGGGACAACTATGACCTGGATGACTGAGAATCTCCATAGACATTTAGATATTACAATGACAACATAAATATGATTTACAATTACAGAGTGAAGCAAAATATTTTAACATTGGACATATTAAAGGACATTTTTGGACATATTAATAGTGTCAACACAGACATCTGTATCTCTATGTCTAAGTGTGTTGTTAGACTGTGTCTAAAAGATGTTATACCTGCCAAGATCGAGTTTAAAGTGGATTTACAAATGACAGGCTACACTTGAATGTACAGAAAGACATGGAAAATGTTGTTATACTGGACATACCAAAGAAATTGTGTCTGTTTTAATAATTAAAAGGGATATACAAACAATAAACCAACAGAATGACCTGGATAATTTTCCTATATTGGACTTACAAAAGAGGTTTATTAAAGTTGTGAACAATCTCATGAGAAGAGACAAAGAATGAAATAAAAATCAAGTTCTGAAACATTATTTAAATGGAATAAAGATTAAGACCGATGGGAATGAAAGGAAAGAATATAAAAACTGGTTTATTTGATCAAGAGTCATAAAGATTTGTTGTCATTTCTGTTACCCTGAATGGACTTTTGCCGACACCAGTACTGAAATGAGTATGCTTTATGGATTCATTTATAGATAAAAAGATGGGACATGGGAAGAAGAGATTATTTGTTGTATTTTAAGAGGAGTTGACAAGTTACTAAAATTGTTGATAGCTATTGTGATGAAGGTTGGAAATGACAGAGATTTATTTTTATTACTTTTCATTCTTTTTCTTTCCTTTTTCTCTTCTCCGCCTTCTATTTTGCTTTCTAGTCTTCTACTTTTGTTTAGGCTTACATTTGTTTTTATTGTTACAATTACAACCTTTAACAAAATTACTAAATTGATGGATGCTGAAAGTCTGTAAGCAACCCAGGTACAAATCATTTATGCTTTCTAAACTAACATATGTTGTAATGACCTTAGAAAGCAACCAGCCATTCGTGAAGCTGTTCCAACACAAACAACGCTCACTGATTGCACTGCCAATTTCTGGATGAACAGAATTTCTTGGACTGTCTTCCATACCATTTTCACCAAAAATTTCCATAACAATAATTGAAGCTGCCTACGTCTAAGTCTCCAAAGACATGCCTCTCTCCTCCAGGTAGGGATACACCTCATTTACTAGATAAAATAAATAAAAGGGGTTCTTTACTTTCAATTTTATACGGTTTTTGAATATGATCGATAGGCAGGCCGCCTCATGTTCAATCCTACCCATAACAAGCACATCTCTCAAAGACTTGCCATACGCTAAATAAATAAATAAAAGCCCAAATTACCTTCCATTTCTCTCAAAGTACCTCCCAAGTGTTGTCTTATTTATGTGCTCTGACATATGGGTTCTATATACGTACTACTTTTCCTCTACTTCACCTACTTTCATCAATACATTTAAATGCAAGTACATGTCATATGACAACTTAGTTTGGTAGAATCAATAACATATGGGCCTGAAAATGGCACACGTAAGATGTTGTACAATCCCCGGGAAAGTCACAGCTGCTTTAAAAAGTAGTAAGACAGGTGCTATGTTCACATGCTGAAGCTCTTTTCTGGAATTAAATCCATAGTATTGTGTGATGACCCAGGGCACAGCACAGAGGCAATGCAGTCAGCTGGCAATTCAAACCGCCCTTTAATTGCTCCAAATTTCCACAAATGCTCCCACATTTCTGACAAGCCTCCAAACAAAAGAAGACACACACACCTTCAGCCGCCTCTGGCGGCAAGTAGTTTTACATACAGTCTGATTAGGAGAGGAATTTACTCAAGGCCACAGAGATAACAAGGAATGACACATACATCATAAACCTAATGAGTCTGTGTGAATACATGCTTGCCTGAGCAGTTTCCAAAAGGTAAGCTAAAATACAGTCCGAGATCTTTGAACATCCAAGCAACGTTGTCAGTCAGTCCAATGGTCAGAGTTTCCAGGTTTCCAAGCAGAAGTCACAGAACAAGAGATCAGCAACAACACACAAAACTCCAAGGAATCAGCATTTGTTCCCGACAAATGCCTCTCCCCACAGCGTCTCCTTAAATCTCAGTCTCCAGGTGTGCCTTGTGGAGAGGGGCGGGATGCTCTCCTCCCAAGTAGTTGAGCCTGCCTGCTTTATTCCCTCCTTCTCTCCACTCTCCCTGCTCTAGGATCAGGTGGGGGTGGTCCTTGCTCATCGCCTGAACTCTGTCTCTCCTGTTCCTCCTGTCCCAATCCTGAAGGGCCCTGGCCTACCTCTGCCTGCTCTTCCCCACATTCCTCTAAAACCACAGACCCCCCTCTCTCGACCTCCATAGGGTCCCGTTCCAGCGCATTTTCCTCTACAGATTCAGGCTCCGATGGAGGTATGACATATTGTGTACAACTGAAATAGAAATCACCTTAGCGTAATAGTGTAGCTTAGAATGCCGAACTATTATTCCAAGCAGCTTCAGCCAGGCAGGACTGAAGCTGCTTGGAATAATGGGCATATTCCAACTTAAATGTTTGTTTCAAATACTGCAGGCAATGAAAAAATGCCTCCACATTTGATGCGGAATGTCAATTAAGTCTAATGCTTTGAGTAAAGTGGTTTCTGTACATGTAGAATACCAGCAAAGAGATCAAAAAGTGTCTGGTTGGTCCAACCTGATAAGTATAGTGGGAGTGTCTCTTTCACAACTCTACTTTGGTGAGATAATTGACTCAAATAATCTTCTGATCAAATCATCCCATTGAAACTGATCAAATCATCCCAACCGTAGTACTTACACAATATGTGGACGAATACAAATTCCCTTCTCCCACTTGCTATCAACACTATGAAGGTTTTTTTTTAGGCAGAGACAGATGAGAAACAGTGGCAAGTTATCACAAACACATTGTCAAGCTTGTCTGAATTGCAATTTCTGCAATTTCAATTCTATCAACAATATGTTTGGAACTGAAAAAGCACATTTGATACTACACTGAATGGAGCTTCCTTGAAAATTTCCATTACTGTTGATTTATATCTGCAAAGAATTGGGGGTGTTTTTTGGAATGGAGGACAATCTAAATCAAGTTCAGGATTCTATAACCCAGGTGATATGGATAAATACGTAGCTTTTCCCTTAACATTCAAAGACTAACATTGGAATGCTTTTAAATACTAAGTAGTTTGTTTAGGTTTTTAACTTGATTTAGCAGCAGAATAGGAAAATGTAAACAATTCTGATTCAACAGGTGATAGCATGTAAAGATTTTGCCTAGCCTTGGAAAAAAACTAAACAAGGTTTAGTGCTGGTGGTTTTGCCAGAAGATTGTTGAGGACAAGTTGGATAGTGGTTTATGCCACTATCTCTTAAGTGCATGGTATAGAAAGCTCTATATTCCCATGTAATGGTTGAACAAGTAATGCGGAATTAAGCAAGCATTTACTTTATTTGTGCTTAGATCATACTTTGTTTCACCCTGTCCTTGGTAAGACACCTGTGTAGAGTAGGATGATCTTTCTCATTGCCAATGCAAAAACCTTGGGAAATAAATATTCTTTAATGTTGAGATGGTCTAACATAAGCAAATATTCCTTAACTCTGAGGGTCTCATTTTTGGCAGAAAGCACTCCAAGTATAAGATAAGCTGAACTTGTTATTGGTAAACTCAAGTGGGATGAGTAATGTGAATAAGGGTGGTATATGCAGCAACAGCCTGGTACACCTTGTAGCAGCCATCCTAAGCCCTGCCACACTTGCGCTGTGCCATACTGGCCCCTCACAATCCTCCCCCACCTGACAGCAGCCATTTCCCTGGCCACCAGCCTGCTTATAAGCTGCCTTGGACTTGCAGCTTTCTGCCAGCTTCCCAACTGACTTTGCTTGTTGGCAGCAAATTGTGAGGAGTCCACACTTAATAACCCATATTCCTTGCTTAATGACAGAGTGCCGGGATTGCCATTGCTAAGCCATGTGGTCACGTGATGTGCTTTATGACAGCATTGCTTGGTGATGGAAATTCTGGTTAACCAAGGACTACCTGTACATATGTAGTCACCAAGAGATGGCTCATTATGAGTCTTTATTTTTAATCAACCTGATGCAATCCAGAAGTTCTGGAGTACAACTCCTCTCTCTTGACACTGGCTATGCTGGTTGGGGATGTTGGAAGATATTCTGGAGCAGACCAGACTGTCTTGTCTCTAGAATGATGGTTTATAGTGACAAACTATGATGGCATCTCAATAACAGCACTGATATCTGACCCTCAAGAAGAACATATTATTTAATCCCCAAAACTGTTCAACAAATGAATTCTACTCTTATCTGTATTCCTTACAATATTTTTGGCTATATAATGATTGGAGGGTCACAGAGCACAGAGCATATAAGTAACGGCTGCTGGAATTGGGTATGTCTAGTTTAATGAAGAGAAGGACAAGGGGGGACAGGATAGCAGCATTCCAATATCTCAGGGGCTGCCACAAAGAAGAGGGAGTCAAGCTATTCTCCAAAGCGGCAGAAGGCAGGACAAGAAGCAATGGATGGAAACTAATCAAGGAGAGAAGCAACCTAGAACTAAGGAGAAACTTCCTGATAGTTAGAGCAATTAACCAGTGGAACAACCTGCCTCCAGAAGCGGTGAATGCTCCAACACTGGAAGTTTTTAAGAAGAGATTGGACAGCCATGTCTGAAATGGTATAGGGTTTCCTGCCTGAACAGGGAGTTGGACTAGATGACCTCCAAGGTCCCTTCCAACTTTTTATTATTATTATTATTATTATTATTATTATTACAGAAGCTCCGTTAAAAACCTAGCATGGAATGCTGAAAAGCTAAAATGCATCTACCCAGTGACCCCTACAAAATCTCAAGAGATGGAGTATCAGAAAACCCAGTATGAATGACTGATGATGACATCCAGTGTTTTGACAGACATTCAACTCCTTTTCAATACGACCAATCATGCAGTAGAAAAGCAGCAAATTGGAACTAAACAATTAGCTTTGATCCAAAGATGCAACCCAAATGATTTTGTCCTACTACACAGTGCATAGAAATCCAAGCCCCTTTCAATTCTTAAATAAACATACCTGTCATCATTGTTAAACACAACAAATCCTTTGCCAGCACGTCCAAATGCTACCTGATTGTTATTGTTGTCCCACCAGTTTGTAATTGGCTCCCCATAGACAACATTTCGGAATATCACCATGTTCCTGAAACGGGGGGAAAATGGATCAGTGTAAGGAATGTACACATCTTTACACAACCTGGTAACTCTAGAAAGTACTGGAAAATTATCTTGATAGAGAGATGCAAGATCACTTGCAGCCAGGAATAAAAATATTTTAAATTCACAACAGATAGATAACATTAAGCTCAGAGAGACACCTCTCTAATTCAATGAAGAATAAGGAGGAGGAAGAATTACAGCACAATCAGATTTGCAAGATTCTGAAATTAGAGCCAATCTTAATAAAAGTAATTTTTACTGTTGTCTGGACTACCTAATGGGGCTGACATTAATTTGATAAATCTGTTTATGTAAGAAAAGGTGCAACATGTAATTCAGTGAATTTTGGAGGTCTGAGCTACTTCCAAATGTTATGTCTGTTGTGGACTTAAATATGTTTTACCATTGCCATGTTGACAACTGATCTTGCATATCTTTCTTGCTGTCTGCAGTGACTTTTGGATACACTCCTATTGCTCTGAAGTCCACAGATTATGGGAATTATAACTCAAACCATTTGTACAGCATTTTGTAGGGAAAGACATCTTTAAATCCATCTGCTTACCTAGGAAAAAAAATGGGTTATTTGAACCCTAGACCAGTGGTTCTCAACCTTTTTAATGTCGCGACCCCCAACCGGTCGTAAGTCGAGGACTAAACTGGTCGTAAGTCGAGGACTAAACCGGTCGTAAGTCGAGGACTACCCAACCGGTCGTAAGTCGAGGACTTTCCCAGCCCAGGAGCGCCGCACATGCGTGGTTCCGCCCCCTGCGTCGGACGAGGCATAGCTGGCAAGCGGCAGAGACGGAGCAGGCCGACCACCAGCTGGCCCAGCTCAAGGGAGGTAAGGCACCCACCGGAAAAGGGGAAAAACAAATGGCGGACAGCCTTGCTTGGCGACCCCCGTGAAATGGTCGATCGACCCCAAATGGGGTCGCGACCCATAGGTTGAGAACTGCTGCCCTAGACATACAGAAGAGCAAATTTACTCTCAAGAAGGCTCTATATAAGGTAGCATTGAAAGCATTTACCAAATTTCATCCCAACGGTGCTCACAGATCCAGCCATTGCCACAAGTTTCATTTGCATAAATTGTCACAGGTTTAATGGATCCATCACTATTGCTTGGTGGTCCAACCCAATCATTCAAGTCCTTGTTTAAAAAAGTGGCATACCATTACTAAAACCATAAGAAGCAAGATATGAACATGTTAAATAAATGCCTTCATTCCTTTATAATATCTGGCTTTTAAACATTTCTAGGAGCAGCAGTCCTAGACTCTGGAAAGTTAACAAGGTTCTTATTATAATTTATGCAAGAATTTGAGAATCAGTAAAACTTAAAAAAAAAAAAAAAACTAAACTGGCACTGCAAACGCCAGTTAAGCTCAAATACTTGCAAAAGTTAATTTTCCCTGCCATATGCGAATGTTTCTGTGCAAATATTTTTAAAGCAAAATTATGCAATTCATATTCTGTATGAGCTAAAATCTAAATAGTCGCTCATCAAAACATCCTCCCAGCTGTTTAAAGATGAATACAAACAAAATAAATGGACAAAAATATAAAATATAATGATTAAAATGCTGCAGTAAAACTAACACTAGTAGAGACAGGAAAACATCAATTTCAATCTGTTTTCAAAATGATGGGACTATCTTTTAAGATACAGTGGCTTACAAATAAAATGAAAACATTTTAAAAAATCATTTTTTGTGTGTGAAGCAACAAAAAGTTACCGTTCCATTTTGGATATCTCTAGGCCACCAGTAGCTTGACATGATTCGTGTGAATCCATAGGGATGAGCAAGCATAAACCCTACTGCCATCTTATAAAGTCTATTAAAAAGATAAAATAAGAGTTCTGGTTTAAATGTGTTTTCAGACACAGAAATGAACAAACATAGAATAGATAACTTGAAATGTTGAAAACAGGTGACAAGCGCTTTCACAAAATGGCTCCAGTCACGGGTGTGAGCACTCAGCTTATCAAAAAATAAACTGATAGGTTTGCTCCCTATTATCTCCCCCCCACACCCGATGTTCCCAACAATCATAGCTTGTTTTTATCTGGTTTCCTGGGCAAGTGAGCTCATTTCCAAATAAAGCATCTCCCTGTAGTCCCCGATGTTTATAGGTAATCTGCACTTAATGATCAGTCATTTAGTGACTGTACGAAATTACAACAGACTCACAAAACCAGTTAAGCTCACCATATTTATGACCTGGATATCAAGATTCCAATGGCTAGCCCCTCCCCCATGGTCACACAATTGCATTTTGGGCCCTTTGCAACAGGCCCACATTTATGGCCACAGGACTACAATTTGCAACTTTTGTTTTTTTGACAGAAACTGGCATTAACTTCCAGTTTCCTGCAAAAAAAACAAAACACCCATTGCAAATAAAGGGTTCATTTAACAACTGCCACATTCACTTAATAACCCCTGCATTTGCTTAACAACCACTTCAAACACAATGTTATAAAATCAGATCAGCACGTGATGACCCACTTAATGGCTGACATGACTTAACAACCATAATTCATGGCTCAATTGTGGTAGTAAGTTTAGAGAGCACATCTACGGCACTCTCTAAAAATGCTTATGTAGATCCCAGAGATATTTCTGTAAAGATGATGATGGAAGACCAAGCTTTCTTTTGTAGCGTGAGAACTTTCCATTTATAAAGATGCAGGAGGAAAAGACTTAGTCTACACTTGGTAGATGCGATCATCATCACCACCATCTTTAGTACCAACTCACTCTTCAGTTCAGAAAACAGGAACACGTCTATACTGCAAAGATTTTCCAGTGGTATATTATATCAAGGATGAAATTCTGCCCATAATTTCCTGAGATTACACCCAACTGAATACAATGTGATCTATTTTCATATAAATATGTTCATGAAAATGGGGGGAGGGGAATGTACATTCCATGTTTATTTTTAGGCTGCTAAGGGCTGCAGCAGCAAATCAATGAATTCCTGAGCTTGTTCATACAAAAGAATACATGCGATAAAAGTATGCATTAAAATTTTTGAATGTCGAGGACTTCC